GCAAGAGTCTGTCTCAAAAAAAAAAAAAAAAAAAAAATCTGAGCTTAACTTTTGACTACCCTCAAACTTTCCTAAAAGCCTACTGTTGACCAGATGCTTTACTGATAACATAAACAGTCTATTAACACATATTTTGTATGTTTTATGTATTATACACGGCATTCTTACAATAAAGTAAGCTAGAGACAAGGAAATGTTACTAAGAAAATTGTAAGGAAGAGAAACTCTATTTACTGTTCATTAAGGTGAAGTAGATCATCATAAAAGTCTTTATCCTTGTCATCTTCACATTGAGTAGGCTGAAGGAGGAGGGGGAGAGAGAGAAGAGATTGGCCTTGGTGTTTTAGGGGTGGTGGGGGTGGAAGAGGTGCAGGAGGTGGAAGGGAGGCAGGAAAGGCAGACATACTCTGTGTCACTTCCATTGAAAGAAATCTGCATATGAGTGGACCCAGGCAGTTGAAACCCAACTTGTTCAGAGTCAGCTGTACTTGTTCCAGGCTAAGAACAGAGAATCAAAAAAAATGCACAGAGGCCTGAAACAGCGTATTATGTTAAAAGAACTCAAAGCCCATAAATGCTTTGCTACTGAAGCATAAAGTGAGAAAGGGGGATCATGGGCTCTGAAATTGCAGCCACAAGTCTACGGAACACATTTTTCATAGCCCAAGGTCAGTCTTCTATTACCCTTTGCAGTGAGGTTATCATCATCTATTTTTCACTCGTCAGTGCTAGGGAACCCATTAAATACTTGCCACTATACTTGGTCCCAACAGTTAATAGACTGTAGCATCTTTTATTTCTTCACCTGGCCTGAAATCAGTTGAGTTTCTGCAGAATCTTAGGTATGTGGTTTTTTTTTATTTCTGGTTTAGATTGGGGCACTTAAAAAAATGCATACTTCTTGAAAAGAGAGAAAAAATAGCATGTAGTAATTTGTGCCTTTATTCTGCCCAAACATCTCAAAAAGGAAAAAATAAATTTAAGGGTAAATATTGTCATCAATTTATCTGAGCTCTTTTGACTTCCTGTGAGCCTGAAAAGAAAGGATCAGTGTGTTTTTAATATCTAGCATAATGCTTGATATGTAGAAGGTGTTTGAGCAATATTTATTAGATAAATGTTCACTTTTGTCATCAGTAATACTGACAACAACTTAATAGAAGCTAGTAATACATGATAAACTTCTCAAGGATGTGATCTCATTTGATCCCTATAACAACCCGATGAGCTAAGTGAGGAACAGTTAACTCTAATACATGTTATATCTTATCCTTGACCCAGTATTACCCCCATCCTGCCTTCCTTTCCCTGCAATGAAAGAAAACATGGTATACCCAGAATGTTGTATCCCATATAAGTGCTTATTCTTATGGTAGATAAGAAGATGGAAAAGATAGGTATGTATTTTCAATTTTTTTTAAGTCTTAGAATTATAAAACAATAAAGGAGTGGGGAGGGAGAGAAGCCTTAAGGGACCAACTTCTTGATTTTACAGGTAAGAAAACTGAGGTTACATAGCCACTTAGTGCAGAGCCAGGATTATAAACCAGATCTCTGGACTCCTATGTGGTGGTGGACACATGAGGATATACTAATTATTGTCCTTACCTGAAAATTCCACATATCTCTAAGGAGCAGATCACCACACACGTGCACGGCCCAAGCCTGGATTGTGGAGGTTTTCCTTGTAGAATGTGTCTTCAGTAGATAGATATGGTCCACAAGAAGGCCGGCTTCAAGGATGTAAGAAAGCACACATTCAAAACAAATAAATGTATGCCTATTCTTTTAGACCAGTAACTAACAATGATATCCAGGTGTCCAAATATAATAGCTTATCTGTTTTTTCTTTCCAGAAAAGGAAACAAGGTCTTAGAGAGGTTAAATTTTGCATAGGATTTTGTTAGCCAAGTCAGCATCTGTTTGCATCTTAAAAATGAGTCATACCTATTCCTTCTAAGTAGGACAGGAGGGCAGCTGGAATTTCCCAGCTCACTCCTTGCCACTGCTTCCTGCCTCTGCTGCTCTTTGTCCTCCACAGCACACTTCATCGGCTAAAACGTGAACCAGATACTACATTACCTCAGGGCAGTTGTAAGTACTGAGTCAGATGCCTCAGGCTTGTGTGATGGGAAGTTTAGGGTGAGACCCATGTCTTACTTTAACAACAGTATGAATAATTTAATCTCTTTTGAGATTTCATTACTCAATATTCCACCCAGAAAGAAACACAGATGACACTCAGCCTATCAAAGGCCATCTGGGACTGACAAACTCAGAGCTTATTATAGATGACAAAGCTCAGCGGATGGGTCGTCACTGAAAGAAAGAGAAACATTTTGAACTGTTGCGTTTCTCTCCTTGCTCACATGAAAAAAAAAAAAATTCTTGGCTGGCCACGGTGGCTCATGCCTGTAATCCCAGCATTTGGGAGACCTACATGGGTAGATCCCTTGAGGTCAGAAGTTCAAGACCAACCTGGCCAACATGGTGAAACCCTGTCTCTACTAAAAATACAAAAATTAGCTGGGCGTGATGGCTTGCACCTGTAATTTCAGTTACTTGGGAGGCTGAGGCAGGAGAATTGCTTGAACCTGGGAGGTGGAGGTTGCAGTGAGCTGAGTCTGTGGCACTGTACTCCAACCTGGGCAACAGCTTGAGACTCTGTCTCAAAAAAAAATCCTTAACCGCAGACTAAGTAAGCATTGTTGTACAGAGTGTCGTCCGCTAATCTTGCTTGTTCCTGAACCTTGAAAGAACCAGGGCCTTGCTTCGGGGGTTAGAGGTGTGGGGTGTAAGTGTGTGTGTCCTCTAGAAGAAGACAGCACTGAGAAAAGAAGGAGAGGATCTTGGAAATTTGTTCATTTCCTACTGCAGTTAGCCTTGTCTGGGGCTCTCACTTTAGCACTTAAAATTACATACTCCCTTGCACAGCTGTTATTTTTTCTCTTCATGTGTACAACTTAAATTACCCGATGGCCTTGCTTTGAGGATATTCATCCTGTCTTATTGATCCGCTCACTGTGTAGAACAATGGAGAACACAGTAAAAAACCCTCAACAGATACGACTTACACTAAATTAACTCTGTGAATTCAACGTTTTCAGATGGTACTTAATCACGTAAGCCTGGATCTCTAAAACTTCATCTGCCATGGGAAAAATCAAAGCTTGTAAAATGATTAAATTTGTAAAGGAATTAAACTCTAGGATTCACTCATTTTATAATTGGTATTTTCACTCTAAGAGCTTTTCTTTTCCTCTCTGGTGCTTAAAAACAAAGTAAAACCAGACAAAACAAGATTAACTCAATTAAAACCCCTGTGACTTAAAAAAAATAGCCAAGAATAATGAGCAAGTGTCTAGTTAGACCAATAGATGTCCTTAACATCTGTGAGCTGGGGACACAAATGAACATGAAGGGCAAAGAAGAGCACCACCCCCTGCTTCTTTTCCTGCTCCTGCTCTTGCAGAGGGTCAGGCTTGGGACCACATATGGTCAGCTCTCAACACTTGAGTCCACCAAGCAACCCGTGAGGAACTCTTGTTTCTAGAATTGTGCACACCATGCAGTGTGGTCCACTCACAGAAACACAGAACAGTTGCTGGCTGGGCCAGAGGTCCATTCAGGCCTTGGAATCAGTCTCAATGCCATTTAGGCATGAATCCAGGGTCCTGGGTACCAGATGCATGGTGTAGGTAGGCAGTGTTCTGTACTAGGTGAGCATCAGGTTCCATTGGTCATGTTCCCCTTGTCCAGTAGGATGCTGGCTTTGCGGGGTGTGGCTAGCCTCGAGCTCTCTACAAGGCAGGACTGAGGGCACAGGTCCCAGTTGCTCAGGCCTATGGGTAGTACTGCTTAAAAATCTCCTTGAGAACTAGTTTAAAATACAAATGCCTCCATCTTTTAGTAGTTCATAAGCATGATGATGGGTGTTCACAGGCATGTGTGAGATGTGCCACCCTCCTTATGAGCCAGCACATTACCTGTCTGACCTGAAAACAAAATGCAAATTTCTGGATCCTCCCCTGCCCCACCTGGCACCTCCCCCACAACATCATGATGTATCAGCTCCATAGTAAGGCCCAGGTATCTGCCTGTGTAGTCACTGGTTGATATTCTGGTGTTTCCTGGTTTGGCTCTGCTGATTTGGGGGATGTTTACCAGAAGGAAAGCAGCCTCCTTCCTCTGCTCTCCTCCCTTGCTGTCCTCCCCCATACCCTGGTGACTCACGCTCCTCCTGCTCCTCCTGTTGCTGGCCTGTCTGTTGTTGCCAGCGCTATTGTGCCTTTGCAGACGCCGCCTGCTCCCTGGATGCTAGCACGGATTCTGTTTCCCTGATGCCACTGCCGCTGTTGTTTGTTCAGTCCCTTGCTTACTGTAGGAAAACTTATTGTTCTGAGTGCCACTGCTACCAAGTTGTAAATACCAGCCTCACGGCACAAAGGGAAGGGGTTTCTTCTGTGCGTGTTCTGCCTCTGTTGCCTAGACTCTCAGGCTTTGTCGCCAAGTGACAATGGCACTGTGAGACCCTGAACTATGGCCTTGTGGTTCCCACATCTCCTTTGAGTCCTTTTTTCTGTTCTCTGAGATCTGAGAAGGAGTCCATGTCCTTTAGTATTCCTATTTTCTTGCGGTACTTCCCCTCTCCCCTACTCCAGAATTTAGGGCAGCCTTCTACTATTGTTTATTTCCCCATCCCACCAAACTTAGTATGACTTTTGTTACATTTATAAAATAGATTGCTTACAGGGTTAGACAAATACAGTTCACCCTCTGTATCCATGCTTTCAACATCCATGGGTAAAAAAAATTTGGAAAAAAATTGTGTTTGTACTGAACATGTATAGACTTTATTTTCTTGTATATTTCCTAAACTGTATTCTATACTAACTATTTACACAGCATTCATATTGTAAGTAGTGTAGTTATGATTTAAAGTATGTGAGAGAATGTACACAGGTTCTATAGAAATACTATGCCAGGCACTTCTCCAAGCAGCCATCCCGAGCAGAGCCAGCCAGCATGACCGAGCGCCGCGTCCCCTTCTCGCTCCTGCGGAGCCCCAGCTGGGACCCCTTCCGCGACTGGTACCCGCACAGCCATCTCTTCGACCAGGCCTTCGGGATCCCCTGGCTGCCCGAGGAGTGGTCGCAGTGATTCGGCACCAGCAGCTGGCCGGCCTATGTGCGCCCCCTGCCCCCCGCCGTGGTCGAGGGCCCCGCGGTGGCCGTGCCCGCCTACAGCCGCGCGCTCAGCCGGCAGCTCAGCAGCGGGGTCTCGGACATAGGGCACACGGCGGACCGCTGGCGCGTGTACCTGGACGTCAACCACTTTGCCCCTGAGGAGCTGACGGTCAAGACCAAGGATGGCGTGGTGGAGATCACCGGCAAGCACGAGGAGCGGCAGGATGAGCACGGATTCATCTCCCGCTGCTTCACCCGGAAATACTCGCTGCCCCCTGGTGTGGACCCCACCCAGGTCTCCTCCTCCCTGTCCCCTGAGGGCACACTGACCGTGGAGGCCCCCATGCCCAAGCCAGCCACGCAGTCCAACGAGGTCACCATCCCCGTCACCTTCGAGTCGCGGGCTCAGCTTGGGGGCCCAGAAATTGCGAAATCCGACCAGTCTGCAGCCAAGTAAAAACCTTAGCCCGGATGCCCACCCGTGCCGCTGCCACTGGCCATGCTCCCTCCCCACCTGTGTGTTCTTTTGATACGTTTATATGTTTTTCTCAAATAAAGTTTGAAGCAACTCCCACCCCCCAAAAAAAACACTATGCCATTTTTTTTTTTTTTTTAAATCAGGGAATGAAGCATCTTTTTAGCTATGACTTTGGTATCTAAGGGGGGTCCTGAAACTCTTCCTCCATGAATACTAAGGGATGACTGTAATTGCTAAATCACTTCCTATTTTTGTGAACTAGTGAAGGATTGGTGGAAAAACATGAAGACTGAAAAAGGCCAAAAATTAAAGAATAATATGCTTCTTCAAGCCAGGTGTAGAGGTGGGCACTTGTAGTCCTAGCTATTTGGAAGGCGGAGATGGGAGGACCACCTAAGCCCAGGAGTTTGAGGCTATATAGAGCCCTATGGTTACACCTGTGAATAGTCACTGCGCTCTAGCCTGGGCAACATAGCTAGACCCTGTCCCTAAAAAAGAAAAATTCTGGGCCGGGCGCCGTGGCTCACGCCTATAATCCCAGCACTTTGGGAGGCCAAGGCGGGTGGATCCTGAGGTCAAAAGATCGAGACCATCCTGGTCAACAAGGTGAAACCCTGTCTCTACTAAAAATACAAAAATTAGCCGGTCATGGTGGCGCGCTCCTGTAGTCCCAGCTACTCGGGAGGCTGAAGCAGGAGAATTGCTTGAACCCAGGAGGCGGAGGTTGCAGTGAGCCGAGATCATGCCATTGCACTCCAGCCTGGGTTACAAGAGCGAAACTCCGTCTCAAAAAAAAAAAAAAAAAAAAAAATTCTGCTGTAATGAACCTGCACACATAAAAGGATGTCTATGTATCTATAGTATGTATATATGTATGTGTATAGGAAATGTGTGTATATGTGTGTGTGTGTGTGTGCATATGGTATTAGTTAAGACAAAAAATCTGCCTTTATATGTCATAAAATAATGTCTTGAGATATCCATTCAAGTGTACTTTCTTGTTTCTCTGTTTTTTTCCTATTTTATTCAGTGGTTTTCATTGCATTTAGGAAAAAGTGACACAGCAAAACACTTAGAAGAATCGAATGTTCATCCTTTGAGAATGTGGTCTGTATATAAGAGAAAACATTTAGAATCAAATTATGAGACTAAACCAGTTTCCCTCACCTGCAGCTAGATAAAAATTTCTAGGAGGAAGGAGAGAATCACAAAAGATTGAAGACTTGACTCCCTGATAAGGGCTCTGACTGAGTTCTGAGAATAGAGAATAAAAGACACCCTCCCCTTCCTAATAGGTTTTGTCAGTGAAGGTCAGAGAAGCCTATGAATTCGGGTCTGGGGAGCAAGTTAAAACCCAGAGTTTCTGTATGATGACGTTAAAGTGGGAATAAAGGAATATCATTGTAGTGTATCTGGGCACGTGGGCATGAGGCAGCCTGATTGAGTTCCTGAAATTCCAGGACAGTGTGGGAGCAGCAGAATATTTTATGTGGCTGAGAGCTTGATTGTATGTGTGTTTATTTGTTTGTTTATTTATTTATTTGCCCAGGCTAGAGTGTAGTGATGCAATCTTGGCTCACTGCAACCTCTACCTCCTGGGTTCAAATAATTCTCATGCCACAGCCTCCCAAGTAGCTGGGATTACATATGTGTGCCACCACGCCTAGCTAATTTTTGTATTTTTAGCAGAGATGGGGTTTTCTCAGTTGCCAAGGCTGGTCTCAAACTCCTGACCTTAAGTGATCCACCCTCCTTGGTCTGTCAAAGTGCTGGGATTATAGGTGTGAGCCACCATGCCTGCCTTCCGTAGTTTATAAGAGAACTCCAGAGCTGAGTTGATCTTGCTTTAAGAAATTAATGATATAGCTGGGATAGTTGGTCCTGTGTGGAACAACAACTGAAAACCAGATGGGAATGAGACTGTGTATGTAGATGCAGCTAGGATACATGATTGTCCACATCTGATGTTTCTTCTTGGATTTTTGAGAACCATCTTGCAACATACATTTCTGCAGCACAATCTGATGATAAATAGGGCATTTCATTAGTTTCAGAGTAATCTCAGCTATTATCTTTTAAAATCGTGCTTCCGCCCCATTACCTATTTCTTTTCTGCTGAAATTCTACTGAAAAGCATGTAAGAGCTTCTTGTCAAGGCACCATGGCTCATGTCTGTAAACCCAGCACTTTGGAAGGCCAAGGCAGGCAGATTGTGAGGTCAAGATGTCAAGACCATCCTGGCCAAATGGTGAAACCCTGTCTCTACTAAAAATACAAAAAATTAGCTGAGTGTGGTGGTGTGTGCCTATAATCTCAGCTACTTGGGAGACTGGGGCAGGAGAATCGTTTGAACCCAGGAGGCAGAGGTTGTAGTGAGCTGAGATGGTGCCACTGCGCTCCAGCCAGGCAACAGAGCCAGACTCAGTCTCAAAAAAAAAAAAAAAGAAAAGAAAAAAGAAAAACAAAGAGCATCTCAAGGTTTTTTCTGTGCTTCTTGTTTTCCTATTTGTATTTTTTCATCTTTATGTCCTAGTGTTTCATTCTGGATAACTTTCGTGACCTGTCTCCCAGTTCACTAATTCTCTTTTCAGCTATGTCTAGTATTATAGTTTGTTTATTGAATTCTTAATTTTAGGTATCAAATTTTCAGCTTTAGGATATCTAATTTACCATTTGTTTTCTACTATAATTTTTAAGATTGACCTTTATCTCTTTAAACATAGCAAGCACAGTTTTTTATATATTTATCTAATAATTCCAGTATTGGGAGCCTCTGGAGTCTGTTTCCTTTTTCTTTTTTTAATTTACATTAAGTGTCTAGTCTGCATATGTGCCTGGTTTCTTTTGATTGTGTGCTAGACATTGTTTGTGGCAAATGGTTTTTCAAACACAATGTGTACAAATCATATGAAGCCTAGAATGATATTTTGACCACCAAAAAAGATTTTAAATTACTTTAGTAACATGCCTAGGGATACTATTAACTCAGGATGTTAATCCAAGTTCCAAATTTGATATTTTCCAGGCCAGCTGGACCAACTGTCCATGTTAAATGATTTATTTCCTAAAGCAATATCAGTTCAGCTCTGCAGCTCTCTGATATACCATGGAGCTCTTAGCCACATAAAATATTCTGCTGCTCTCACACTGCCCTGTAGCTCATAAAAGAAATAGTTTACTTCCATATTACTCCTACATCCAGGATGTAGCTCTTTGAGCTACCAGTCCAAAGTGAAGAATAATTTATCAACTTCCTACCTTGTCTACCTCTAGGCACTGATTTTTGTTTTCCTTCTTGGTCACCCATCTTCAACTGGAAAATGCCCTCAGTTAAAAAATGCCCCAAGTGCCAAGCTTCCCTATTTGGATTCCAATTTTTTCCTGTATCTGGAACTGGTAATTCATTAGAATCTTGCTAGCCCTTTGATGCTTTTAAGATTTTCATTTTATTTATTTATTTGAAGTGGAGTCTTGCTCTGTTGCCCAGGCTGGAGTGCAGTGATATGATTTCAGCTCACTGCAACCTCCATCTCCTGGGTTTAAGTGATATTCCTGCCTCAGCCTCCCAAGTAGCTGGGACTAATAAGCATGTACTAGCACACTGGGCTAATTTTGTATTTTTAGTAGAGTTTCACCATGTTGGTCAGGCTGGTCCTGAACTTCTGACCTCACATGATCTGCTTGCTTCAGCCTCTCAAAGTGTTGGGATTACAGGCGTGAGCCACCACACTTGGCCAGATTTTCATCTTTTAAAATTTCATCGCCTATAATCCCAGCACTTTGGGAGGTTGAGATGGGTGGATTGCAAGGTCAAGAGATTGAGGCTATTTTGGCCAACATGTTGAAACCCCGTGGTACAAAAAATACAAAAATTAGCTGGGTGTGGTGGCACGTACCTGTAGTCACAGCTACTTGGGAAGCTGACGCAGGAGAATTGCTTGAACCTGGGAGGTGGAGGTTGCAGTGAGCCAACATTGAGCCATTTCATTTCAGCCTAGGCAACAAGAGTGAAACTCTGTCTCAAAAAAAAAAAAAAAAGGCCAGGTGCTGTGGCTCATGCCTGTAATCCCAGCACTTTGGGAGGCTGAGGCGGGTGGATCACCTGAGGTCAGGAGTTCGAGACTAGCCTGGCCCACATGGTGAAACCCTGTCACTACACAAAATACAAAATTAGCCAGGCATGGTGGCTTGTGCTGTTGTCCCAGCTACCTGGAGGCTGAGGCAGGAAAATCACTGGAACCCAGGAGATGGAGGTTGCAGTGAGCAGAGATCATGTCACTACACTCCAGCCTGGGCAACAAAGTGAGACTATGTCTCAAAAAAAAAAAAATTCATCTAGCTTTCAGCTTTCTTAGCCTTCTTTTGTGGAATGATTAGTTCACATTACCCAGTCTGTCAGCACCAGAAGCAAAATATTTTTTTTTTTTCAGATGGAGTCTTGCTCTGTCTCCTAGGCTTGAGTGCAGTGGCGAGATCTCAGTTCACTGCAAGCTTTGCCTTCTGGGCTCAGAGGGTTTTCCTGCCTCAGCATCCAAAGTTGCTGGGATTACAGGTGCCCACCACTACAACCCAGCTAATTTTTATATTTTTAGTAAAGATGGGGCTTTAGCATGTTGGTCAGGCTGGTCTTGAACTCCTCACCTCAGGTGATTCACCCTTTTTGGCCTGCATAAGTGTTGGGTTTACAGGTGTGAGCCAGTGCACCCAGCCTGAAGTTTTAGTTAAAATGCTTCACCGGGCCAGGCAAGGTGCCTTATGGCTGTAATCCCTGTACTTTGGGAGGCCGAGGTGGGTGGAACATGAGGTCAGTCTACCCAACATGGTGAAACTCCATCTCTACTAAAAATACAAAAATTAGCCAGACATGGTGGCGCATGCCTGTAATCCCAGCTACTCAGGAGGCTAAGACAGGAGAATGACTTCAACCTGGGAGGTGGAGGTTGCAGTGAGCTGAGATCACTCCACTGCACTCCAGCCTGGGTGAAAGAGAGCGACTCTGTATAAAAAAAACAAAAAACAAAAAACAAAAACAAAAAAAAAGCTTTACCGGAATTAAAGCCAAGTCATTTTGAAGTCTGATCATGACTGTGGAAGAACT